ATACATACCGGTATATAAATTTTATGTTTTTTCCACAGAACGCAGGCATTGGGATCTGGAGGAGAAAATCCACATCTAGAATCTCCAAAATTTCCAGAAAAGTAGCAACCCTGAACTGGGTTCTGAGAGAAATCGAAAAAGATAAGCAACACTCTTCATCTAATCTTGTGTTTCGGATCTGATACAATCTTAATATCAATTTTAATAATAATAATGTGGATCATTTTTACTGTGCCTATTCTCGTGTGCACACAGCTCTTGGCACTTAACATAAAGCCAAGTACAAAGAAAAATAACAACGATAGTAACCAAGATATAATTAATATTTGTTCATAGGTAGCCCATTGAAAGAACGTTGCTCACTTTGAGGAGAGGGTCAAGGACAAAGTGGTTGAAGCCCCTGACACGTCCCTCTCCGGGCTGCTTGCTCCATTGACGTGAGGCCGGGCTGAAGTAATGCTCCCCCCAGAGCCTTCTCATCAGACGTTCTTCCTTGATGCCGAACTTGCTCGAGTACAGACGAGCAAACTGCTTGAGGTTGAAACCCCAGCCATGAAGGCCAGAGCCGAAGCTCACATTGCCCTTGGCTGGATCCATCTGGAACAATGCCGGAGAGGTTTTTAACATTCGGAAGAGTTGTACAGGATTTTTAAAATGCGAAAAAATTTACTCAGATTTATTCAGTTTGTAAATTTCCCGAATGAAAACAATAACAGGCCGTATAAAGAAAAGCAGACAAGGAAAAATTGGCCTGTTTAATTAATAAATTATTTTCTCCTAAGCCACATGTTCCCAACAATATTTCCACCTTTATGACACAGCGTTCCACCGTCTATTCCATTGCCCAGAATTCAAAGATATAACAACTTTCCTTCTCACGATAAGACCAGGTGCTATGAGCACAATAAAACAAACTATACAACAAAACTACCTGATCAAAATAGAATTCGTCAGAAGCACATGTTTCTGGCTGAAAGTCTTAATAATCCAACCAAAAAAAAAAAAATGTTACATCTTGTTTCTTCACAAACAAAAGACTACAAAAATGATCCGTAACTTTTGTTCTAATTTAAAACAAACAACAACAACAAAATATAAAAATAATAAATCTTTGTATACTTACCATCAAATCTCCCATGGGTGAGTCGTCCTCGCAGTATATGCCGATGAGGGCATTGACGCTGCCCACAACGTCTCGGAGAGTGCAGTAGATTTCCTCCGCGGTGAGAGCCTTCTCGAACACAGCCCTGTCCAGCTTGTTCATCATGAGCACAGGCTTGATCCTCTCCGACAGCGCTTGTCGCAGCACCGTCTCTGTCTGGACGCTCACGCCTACACACACACGCAAAAATAAAAGGGGAAATACAATGTAGTTGAAGTGATGACATAGTCACTCTGTGTAAGATCATCACAAAACGCCACTGCTTCCCTTGCCTTATATTTTTCAATACAGTCCAGCATTCACAGCCTTATAGAATGGCAGACCACACATAGCCTTTTAGAACACAATAAAATCTCTATTAAGAGTTGGTGGTAACTTTACTTTTACCCAGTGGTATAACTCTAAAGGCTGAAGAGTTTCAATCAGGAAAAAAATGTTCAAAAAGCGAAATCAACTGAGTTAATAATAATTAATGATAATTTCGCATTTTTATAGCTCCTATCTATGCTCTACAGCATGCTTTAGGTGCCTTACAACTACAGTTACCTGAGTAGACAAGAACAAAACTAAGAAACATTTTTGGCCTCACAGAAAGCATATAGACCAAGCTGCAAATTACATGCGCTAAAGTACTAACAAACTGACCAAATCTTTTATTGCCTATAGCCAGGTACCCAATCCCAAAAGGGTGAATTTGGAAAATTCATGTAAAATGCTTTTCCAAAACGCAAAACGTTGCGCTCCTGATGGAATTCAAACCCACGACCTTCCAGTCGAGAGTGAAGTCTAACCACTGGACCACCAACACGTAACTTACCACTGACACAGTCCACCACCACCATGGCTCCATCGACCACCCTCAGGGCGGCTGTCACCTCAGGGGAGAAGTCTACATGGCCAGGGCTGTCCACCAGGTTGATCAGGAAACCCGTTCCTTCAGACCCCAGTTGCTCAACATCCTTGTCTTCCAAGTTGTAGTACAAGGATATAGCCCTGTCAGAAAGAAAAATGGGTGATTTGAGATACAAGGATATAGCCCCGTCAGAAAGAAAAATGGGTGATTTGAGATACAAGGATATAGCGCTGTCAGAAAGAAAAATGGGTAATCTGAGATACAAGGAAATAGCGCTGAAAGAAAGACAAATGTATATTTTGATATATTTGAAAATAGCGCTGTCAGAAGGAGAATTTACAACCACAAATTTAAAACAAACATGCCTTTTTAGTACAATAACCAAGTAAAGATGGCAAGTACTGATAGCCAAATTGAAACAACAATCAGACAATAGCTCGAATGGTATGAGCAGCTTCAGTCAAATAACATTTAAGCTAAAGGCAAATAATAAAGAAGTAAAAAATAAACGATTATGAATTTCTCAAAGAAGAAAAACCAATCATATAAAAAAAACACATTGCATTCTCGAGGACAGAAATCATCTAAAGATAGTAAAAACCGCACCCAATATTGAAATACACTTTTAAAATTGCCATCTCAAAGACAATTATCATCATCACTTTTGTAAAAGAGAAAACGGCAACTCACGTCGACTTGATGGTGATGCCTTTTTCTTGTTCATATTTGAGAGTATCAGTGGCCCTCTTATCACCTGCCTGTGAGGATGCGATCACACCAGCCCTCGCAAGCAAGGAATCAGTAAGAGTAGTCTTTCCATGGTCAACATGGGCAATAACAGCAATGTTGCGGATATTCTTGCGCTTTCGCAGTGCATGTTGAAGTTGTTCGACACTTAATTGAACCTGAGTGGACAATAAAGACAAGAACAGGAAAATTTTAATCGTAGAACATTACATATATTATATGACAACTTAAAAATCTGTATGTGACAGCAAATGTCTGTAAATTCAGAGGATTATCACATGAATTTTCTTGATAAAAGAATTTGTACATCTATATGTTCATAACTTTTTAATTAAGATTCTATTCCTCTGCAGAATAGGAAAAATGGGTCATTCAATGAAAAGTGACACACATAACGCAGAGATAATGCCTTAATTAAAAATTCTATGCAATGACAGCTCAAGTCATTCTTTACTCTTTTTATGTTAGCTGCAACCTTCCTCTAACATCCCCTCCCCCCCCCTAAAAAAAAGAAAGAAAATATGAAGAATGGCTCTATCATTGCATCGATTTTTTTTTGGTAGGATATATTATCTTGCATTACATAAGTCACTTTTCATCATCACTGTCTTTCTCCCCCTGCATTAGTATATATGCTACGGAACGGACAACACTTTAATTAAAATTGGAAGAGGCTAGCCGTACTTAATGACGGCTAGACTGGCAGTCTAGCCGTACTTAAGTACGGCTAGACTCACAGTCTAGCCGTACTTATTCTTAATATGATGGCTAGACTGACCATTTACAAAAAATAGGCCTACTGAATTGTAAATATACATTTTTAGTGTGAAGTACCTAAAGTATTTGAATTTGAGACAAAACCAGGTGCCTTAATGACAGTGCATGTATTTTAAACCTCCTGTTTTCTAATGTTAATAGGGCCTAAGATAAGTACGGCTAGACTAGCAGTCTAGCCGTACTTAAGTACGGCTAGACTGCCAGTCTAGCCGTACTTAAGTACGGGTAGACAGCCAGGCTAGCCGTACTTAAGGACGGCTAGACTGTCAGGCTAGCCGTACTTAATATTGATGGCTGAATTGTAAATGGAATTTTTAGTTTGCAATGCCTAAAGTATTTGTATTTCAGACAAAACCAAAAGGTGCCTTACTGACTTGCATGTATTTGAACCTGAATAATTACTAGATCTAGATCTAATGAGACCTGTGTACTTAACAGGCTTGAGTCGATTGGGCCAAACCTAGATCTAAGTACGGCTAGTCTAGCAGTACTTAAGTACGGCTAGCCACTTCGATTAAAATTTCCCCTTTCCCCTAGCTATGCCTTCTTACTTTTCTGTACATCATTATATGTGCACATTGCAGAAACAAATTACAGAATTTAAGGATTGCACAAGCACAAGTAACCTCTGTAAAATCAGTTTTAGTTTTAAAGACATCACTGGTGCAGCAGTGTGCATGTGATATATATTTAAAAGTGAATAGACATTTGAAGTTTATTTCAATGGTTCTAAAATGAAAGCACACGTATATGGAAAACTCCGACTTCTGATGAATTTTTCTGTGGCAAAGCCAGACTAGAGACTGGAGAGTTGACTGGCATTTTTTGCACAGATAAAATAAAAATTCAGTTTCTACAAAAATTTATCATGGAAAACTCAACCTGTTGGTACGAGAACAAGTAGGTCAGCTATGGGATCAATGTTTCCCCAGAATTAATTAATGTATTCATCTAGGTTCTTTAAAATGTTTGTTTAATTCATTGGTACATCCATAGTCATAATAATATCCCATACCATTCAGAAAAAGTCACGAACTGAGGCGGTCAGATATGGCACACACACGCGCTGTTGAGGCGAGGGCGCAAAGTGCTTTCTTTATAAAGGCTTTTGACTTGACAAATTGAAGACGCAGGGGTCCTCTTGGTCTCGGCTTGGGGTCCTTTTCTTTGCTTTGGACTTGAAAATGTGGTACTCACAGGCACCAAGCTTCACATATCAATAATATTATTTTCAACAAGTCACGCTCACGGAGCGTTTTCCACTCCGATCACATTTTTCTCTGAACGTTACTAAGCAAAACAGTTCGTTTTATACTCAACCAGCGCGAAGATTGCACCACGGGTTCAAACAACGTCATAAAGTATTATTAGCGAGTTTATAAATACTCTGGTATTATTAGACAGACCTTCAAGGTCCTAATTTTGTTCTTCACAGTTTCAAAACATGGTGCAACGGGTCTATCGATTAAGCTGAATTACTGTATTAGGCTATATCGATCGACGAGAAAATCGGGAATTTCCGCAGACTATTTTGAGATTCAGAATCAAAACATCCGGTAGAAGTAGGAATCTGAACTTTCGCTTCGGAAGATGCCCAACGACCGTTAGGCCGGCGTTTGTTTGGATCTGGTTTATTCTTGGACTTAGTTTTTGTTGCACCAGCTGGTAGATTCTGGAGATTAATTGAAATGAATTTTTTACATCGAGTTCTTTTGAAGGCGCCTTCAGCCTCCTGTTCACATAAACTGCTGCTAAGAACTAGCGCGAGAGCCAGTTCTAAGTCAAGCCAAAATGACCCCCCGCCTGCTCGAGAAAGTCAAAGTGATTCGGCGTCAAGTTCCACAAGTTCCAGTAATATTGATGCGTGAGTATACCTTGACCAAAACATTTGCCATTCGTATTTCAAATGTGTACATCGTGAAATGTGCTTTCTGAGTATGTGAAAGCTCTCAAACTTGGTGGATTTTTGTCATTATAAACAAGGCCGTCGTTATTCGGACTCGAGTCCAAATAACATTTTTACATATTCGGACTCGAGTCCGAATAAAAAAAATTCTTATTTGGACTCGAGTCCGAATATGAAAAAATGTTATTCAGACGCAGGTCCCGAAAAAAGGGAGTGTCTTCGTTCTATAGATCTAACGTTCAGTGCTTCCAATTTTCCGCCATTTTTTAGTTTCCCCACACCTTTTCTGCCGATCCGATGCCCGCCGCCTCATTGATACGCCCCCCCCCCACCCCCCATATTTCCCACTTTCTTTGTTGTAGAAAAAGGTAAAATTGAAGATTAGCAGACCACCTGGCAGCTGCATATTATGAGCTGTGTAAAAAAAAAAAGCGATTCGTTCAAATACACAAGCCTGTGTCATATCAATTGTTTACCAAGAAAAAGTTGTGTTGCTGTGTAGAGCTGAGCATACGGCAACTTTTGATTCCATAGACCAGGGCACAATTCATTACGTAGATCTACGTCAAGCCTTATTATTGTAATAATGATCAGTTGCCGGGGGGAAAAAGACTGACGCGTATGCGACGTTCAACGCCCGGACCGATAGTGCCCCCCAACCCCCCTCCCCGACACGCACACAGCCACACGTGTGCAGGCCGCCCATCCGACCCCGACACACGCTAACGAGCCATCTTTAATTGCTTCTGATGACCTCTTGACAAATAAACATTTATTATTAGAAGCGCTATAATATAACTTTTCAGGCCGGCCTCAAATTCAGATCATAAGATTAAAACTCGGCTCCTGCACAAAACGCCCTTTTGCCCGAAGTGATCCCGGTCTCTACCCAGCCTGAGGCGAGTCACGAGTGAGGCAGGACAGGAAGCCGGAGTCACGAGTCGCAGGAAGTCGGAAGTGATGTCATGCTGGACAAGAATCAGAGTCCGAATAACATTTTTTCATATTCGGACTCGAGTCCGAATAGTCACTTCATATAAACAAAACGGAAGGACTTCCGTAGATCAAGACCAAGAATTTGTCTTTTTATAACTTGCTCATATTCATACGTCTGAACTTTTAATCCAAACAAAAGAACCGTTTTATGTTGTGTCCTAAGGGAGTGATTATTCTCACCCAGGGTGAGGCTGGATATTATTCTCACCCCGTTGATGCTATTCTCCCCCCGGGTGAGAATAAGGACAGCCTACTATTCTCACCCGGTTTTTTCGTTTCGGGCATCATAGGACCCCTGTCACTGAGCGCTCCAGGCGACAAAACTCGCCTCCCTCTCTCACTCCACTGAGCGCGTGAGGCGACTAAAATCGCCAATGGGCGAGCCAGCTCTCGAGCGCGGGAGGGGTTTTAAAAAATTATACAATAACAATCCCCGCGGGAGCCCAGAAAAATCGGCCAGCGCTCTGGGGCAGGTCACGAACCTCTTACAATTCACAAATTATTTTGCATCATCCGTTTTCAACATCCAGGTAGGCCTAAGAATAAAAATCCATTGCATTCTCAGACCGGGTGAGAATGATTCTCATTTTATTCTCCGGGGTGAGAATAACAATATAATATTATTCTCACCCCGGGTGAGAATAAAATTATATTTTTATTTTCACCCCGGGTGAGAATAATACAGTTGTGTCCTAAAGGGCAAGGCTGCCTTCCATAAGGGATGTAACAGCTTTTGTTTAGCTATATATAGGGCCTAGATCTAGAGATCTAGATCTATATATATTGTTAACGAAGTGACTATTTCTCCGAACGCTCGGGATAATAAACTTGAACTCTATTTCTCCGAATGGTTTCCGTTCTCGAGTTTTGTTGGTTATTTGTGAAAGTTTGGCGTCATCTTTCATTCTGCCAATCTGCGAGGACTGGGAAGAGAAGCATTTTTTTTGCATCAAATACAATTTCTAGAGCTAGATCTAGGTCTAGAAATTTTTAGTTGTTTGAACATTCAGATACTTCAATTGTAGTTGGGGCAACCTTCCTGGACTATGTTATATTTGAAAATGCCATCTACGAGAAAACAAGACTGCTCGAATTTGGCAGTAACCTATTTTGCTTTTGGCTACCCCTAAAGCAAAAACTAAACCACCCCCCCAAAAAAATCCCTCTATGCCCCCCCCCCCCCTCCCTCCATGCACCCCCCCCCCTCCCCGTTCACACTTTACACACACACACTTTACTACTTTACACACACACGCACACTCACATGGCACACACACACACACACACACACACACACACACACACACACACACATACACACACACACACACACACACACACACACACACACACACACACACACACACACACACACACATGGGCCACTCCATTTGCAAATAACCAAAAAATCTTGAGAACGGAAACCGTTCTGAGAAATAGAAGTTCAAGTTTATTTTCCCAATTGTTCGGAGAAATAAAGCCGACCTATTATAAAACTCTTGTTAACTCTTTCTGGACGTAGTTGTTTTGGGGTCTAGATGTAATTAACTTGTGACTCGTTTCGGCTACACAGGTGATGTACAATATAACTTCATATTAGCATACCATCACTCAAAACGTAACATATGATATATCAAATTGAAGGAAATTGAGGAACACATTCCAACATGAAACAAAGATTAATTTTGAACATACGTATGCATTACAAGTGTTAGAAATGGCGATGGTGGTGAGAAAAATACATTTTGACAGGAACAAATTTCACACACTAAACATGTGAAAGCGAATCAGCATAGCTATCTTATCATATACAGGCCAAGAGCAGACTCCATAAATTTCTGAATGTGCAGCTTTTTAGTTGAATGCAATATTCTAGTTTTTGTTTGAGTTATGATATTTATACTGAGTCCGGTTAGATCGTTTTGTTGATGCAAGACCGCAAGAACTAATTCACTAGTTTTTCGCCAGACCTATGCTTTGACAAAGTTAGTGAAACTAGATGTTTACTTTTCTTAAACCCTTTCCAATGCCCATTGGAAGATCGGGTCTGGTCGGGGCGTTTTGCTAGCCAGACTGAGGGTGCAAAGCGGCTAGCATGGCACAAGCCGCACCCGACTCGCTTCCTCGTCATGTGACGAGTCGGACGATCGATCCGACCAGACTAGTTATCTAATCCCTTCCGCAATGGGCTCTCCGTATTAAAAAAACAAAAAGTCCCAAAAGCAGTCAAAGCTAGATCTAGTTTCATTATTGTTTTGTTCGTGTCTTATAAATTTAAAAGCTTTGAAATGCCAGTATTGGAATCTATTTATAATCCACTTCTATTTTCTATCGCTGTCAGAGCCTCTAGGGATACTTAATTGAAACTGTGGCAGAAATATATTTTCCTTGCCTCTTGTGAACCTTATGAATAAAGAAGTTGCACTTTCTTCTCCAAGGCAGGCGTGCACTGGTCTTGGAACTAGACTTGCCAAGACTAAGTGCCACCTGGTTGATGGTCGCAGTAAAAAAAAATAGGCCTATAAAATTTTCCAGTTCTGCCGAAAAGGCTAATTATTCTAAAAATACACAAACTCGTATCTCAGAAATTAATTGTTATTCCCTTTCCAAAGAAGTTCTAAAGGCATATATATATCTGAAGATTTGAAAATTTCCAGTTTGTTTTGATTGAATCTGAGGATAGAAAACTGTTTCGTACTACGAGTCTTTCTCTGGCGGTCAGTCTTTTCAGTATTTTTACAGAAGATAGAAGATACAGGTCTTTGGTAGATTCTTCTTCTGCCTCTTTTCAGAGACAATATTGTTTTTTTATACATGTACTTGATAAAATGAGATCGTACAGACTCAATGAGATCGTACAGACTCAACATGCATTGCGACTAAAAGACAACACTATTGAAGTTTAATAGTGCTTTATTCCGTTTTTATAAACTAAATTTCTTGCAATAGTAATTTTTATTTAAACTAAATATAAGTTAAGTGTATTCATGCCTATACACATCCAGTTTTAGCATCATGCGTGGGAAATTCTCACCGGATTTTGCGAAGAAGGCTATGCTGAAAAAGGAATCACTGACTTCCATTCTGAGACCTAAGACTAGCAAGATCGAATTGACTCCTGACTCTGGTGAAGAAAAAACAAAGCCAAAGAGGTACTAAGTTGAGGCATATTGAAGTTTCCTCCTTTTTTTTATTGTTTGCCTTTCAGTCAGATTATTCTGATATTTTCACAATTCATTTTTTGTAAAATTTTATGCTGTAACCAGTTTGAGCATTTTATGTTGAAAAACATTCTTTTGCTGTTGCTATTTGTTATACATTTGCTTCCCCCTCTCCAACCCCCCTACCCCCCAACCTGAAAAAATCATGTCCCCTCATTAACAGGCCTCTTAATCTGTCTCGGAGATTGTTATGCTATCGGTCTGCACAATTTAAGACATAAAGGCTATTTAAGAGGCACTCTTAAGAGTAATGCTGTGCGATTTTGAGTTTTTAAAAAATCATCGAAGCTTCGAAGCCCGATGTCACTATTTGTGCTATTCGAATATCGTTTGCGAATAGCTTTTTTTATACTTGTACATGTAGGCCTAAGGTGAGGCCTAATGCCGTGAGTCTATCAGCAGCATTCTTTATTGAATATTCACTATTCACAATCACAGCACTATTCATCCAGTGATTCTCAGCTCTGTGTGTGTCTGCCTCTTTTCGTATAGCACCCATGGCTTGCGTAACGTGTGCGATGATGAAACAATTTTTTTGTTGCTTTTTAAAAATAAATAAAAAAAAAGCGACTGTAGCAGAGGGGGAAGGGAGAGGGGGAATAATAAAAACAGGCGACCACTCGTGCCTAGTGTCTGCTTGGAAGGAAAAAAAAAGGAACTTGGACAAGAGAAAAAACTTTTTACCAAGCGAGCGGAGATCAATTGATCTAACACACATGCACACTGTCGCTGCGTCGCACAACACTGCTGTTTGCTAAGTTGTATTGTCTTTGGGAGGTTCTTTTATTGGTAGCTTTATTTCTTTATTCTTCTAGAAAAACTGCCAAACAATACTTTCTGTGCGTTTGCTTGACATGGTACAGTTTGATCAAATCACACTAAATTTAACTGCGCAGATTTATATATAAGCTAAGACTTCTAGCAGTAAATGGGTAAAAAGGTTCAAGAGAATTCTGTTGGCAGTATAATAGGCCTAATAATAACTATACAAATTACACATACAATTTTGAACAAATAAATCAGAAACAGAATGCAAATTTGCAATCTGAAGGACAATGCAATCTCTAAAATTACACATCAGTGCAACGATCAAAGAACTGGCCTAAAATGGACAAAAGCAAGGGAACAGAATGTACTCCCAACAATCTACTGTGCAGCCATAAAGTAAGAGAGAGCACAGACAATGGAATAAAGATTGAGACAAAAGGCCATGTGAGTGTAACAGCAAGGTGTGTGACGTGTATTTTTAGCCTTGCGCGCTCGGCTTATAATACTCTTATCTCTCATTTCGTTAGTCCCCGCGTGCCATCCCCCCACAGCGCCAAGGCCCACCCAAAAACTGTAGAAATGTTGTGGATCTCCCCACAAGTAGGCTATGGTGGTTGGCTGATTTTTTGGTGTTCTTTTTTTGTTTTTGTTTTGTGTTCTATCAAAACACGACTGGCTCTAATCCCGCACGACACCCCGCGGTGCAATGACATCACGTCACAACATTCATAACCTTGTGCTTCGAATGTCAAGGGGAGCTAAGTAAGTCTGTCAACCTACAATAAAAAAAAAATAAACACAACATTCGCTGCGCTTTGAAGCGGCGGTGGGTACCCATATGGCCTCTGGCTTTGAAGCGGTGGTGGGTACCCATATAGCCTTATGCTTTGAATCTTTGAATCCTGCAAGGGGAGCTAAGTATGCCTGCATACAAAAAAAACATTCACTGCGCTTCGAAGCGGTGGTGGAGTGGGTACCCATGCTTTGAATGTCACATTGTCCAATGAGAGCTCAGTATGCCAACGTACAAAAAAAACATTCGCTTTGCTTCGAAGCGGTGGTGGGTACCCATATGGCCACTGCGCTTCAAAGCGGTGGTGGGTACCCATATCGTCTTGTACTTCGAATATCGAATTGTGCAAAAGGAGCTCAGTAGGCTATGCAATGTATACAAAATCTCCGGCTGCACTTTGAAGTGACAGTCTATTGAGTGCATCATGAGTGCTTTTTAGAGGCACATTTTATAACTCCTACTGGCTCCTCTTATCGCTCTGTCCCGTAATCATCAATCAGAACATAACGTCGAATTTACAGCAGTGTATTTAGATATTTGATTATGCTTTAATTTTACTACGGGTTGAGAAAAATTAGAAGAAATTCATTGCGGAAAAAAATCACACAGCATTCGATTGGCTCTGCCACGCTTCGAATAGCTGTGAATAGTTAAAAAATCATGAATGTCAAATAATGAAATCGAATGGGCACAGGTCTAATTAAGAGGACTGAATAATCTGTGGGAAAAAAAACATTTTGTTTTTCTTAAAGAGCATAGCACCCCCAGCTGAGAAGTTTTAAAAGTTTAAAAGAAGTTTTAATATTTTGTATCTGATTATTTTCTCAACATGGAGAATAGTAAAAAGTTCCCACTGTATATTGTATTTAAGCTAGAATTAAAAGAAAAAAACCTGATTGTCTAAAATTCACGTTGGTGCAATTTTTTAAAGCTAACTTTGTGAGGTTGACTCGTAAATTTATCAAATTGGTCTGTCTGTTCAGATTCCTGGTGGGCCGTGACTTTCTCAGCCTGAAGCATTTCGGAAAAGATGAGATTCATCAGTTTTTGTGGACAGCAAAGGATCTGAAAACCAGAATAAAAGATAATGGAGAGGTATAAACATATTTTTTTGCTTTGTAGATACACTTGATTCCGTGATATCTTCTTGTATGCTCTTGAATCCTTTTCTTATGTGAACACTTTAGCAACAATATGGTGCCCTTCATTTATCTTTTATTTCTTTTATTTCTTCTTGACCGATAACAACAACATCTTTTATTTCATATCAGCGTCTACCTTTCTCTATTTGAGCTCACTACCACACTTATTCACTTATTTCTGGGGGGGTGGGGAAGGTGGGCTGTCGTACGTAAACTTAGTGCATTTTATGGTCATGGTGAAAAGAAATCTTTTATGGCCGTGGTGAAAAGAAATCTTAATCTGTCCCTGTGTTTTAAGCACCCTGCATAATTTAGCAAAATTTGATCATTTTTTGCATAATTTCTGATTATTTTCCTTTATCAATCTTTGTTAAAATTAACAGAATCGATATTTTTACATTTTTGGGCTCAGTTTGCATAATCTCAGAATTTTTCTTGCATAAAATGACGGGGACAGCTTAATGATGATTTTCATACTGCTCAAACTATCTGTATTTTTTTGTTCTTAGGTGCTTCAGCCACTAACTGGCAAAACTGCAGCGCTAGTTTTTGAAAAGGATGATACAGCTTCTCGGCTTAATGCTGAGCTAGGTGAATATTGCTGTTCTATTGTCTGGATTTTTTGCGTGTGTGTGTGTGTGTGAAAAAAATCCGTGTCCGAAACGAGGCTCGAGTATACATTGGTAAATATACCCTTGGGTTTTTTAAAAGTATTTGAATTGTTTTGAAGAATATCAGATTGGTCAGTTTTTTCCTCTTCGTTTTTTTTTTTTTTTAAATAAAAGAAATAGTTGTGTGGGGTCTACCTGTTGGCTACCAATATTTAGAAAGAGCAGAAGCTGTGTCAAATGATGCAATGTTGGGAGCAATCTTGGTGCTGATATACCCTTTTGATTTTAAAAAAAATCCTGTATGAAAATGAAATTGTTTCATACATTTCCAACTTCATAGAGTCAGTAGTCAAGCATTGATTCCTCATGTCACTGCTTCTCATCCACAAATTTTAAAAATTTTGTTTTGAACTGAGAGCTTCTTTTGGAGCCTTTTCAGATTAAGGAAAAGAAATAATAAAGTTGAGTTCAGTTTTCTGTATAGTAAGGAAACAAGCTCAGTATTGTGAATGAGATAATTTTTGTGGCTCAGGTCTGGCGAGACTTGGTGGCCAGGCGGCTTACTTCAACGCCAGTGACCTTCACCTTGATGGGAAGGAAAACTGGAAAGATTCTGCAAGGTAAGTTAGTGTAGAATGGTGATGTTCCACCCTGTTTATTTATCTTTTTCTACTTGAAATTTTTGCTGGCTATTGCTCTGAATTTTGTGACTGAAAAGGAAGAAGCAGAAAGAAGCTCTGAATCAGAATACACTGCACTGAATAAGGAGGTATTGTCTCTATGGCTGATATACTTTGTTTATGTTTGTGAAAAAAAAGAGTTCATATTTTGTTTTCAGTATTGATCAATGTATGTCTAAGCATATTTAGATTATAATCAGTTAATGTGTTTTACATTATGTCTGATTTTTCTGACTCATCGTCGAGGTTACAAGCCTTTTAATAGTTTAAGGAATTAGAATGTCTTTATATATTATTATATCAATATTTACCTTTTACATATTTCCTGTTCACAAAAATAATTGTTTTGACCCTTTATTTTAACATTGAATGAAAATTCAATTGTGTCATAGCACATCTCATAAATAAAGGGGGGGGGGGGGGGATTTTCCCGTGCCCTTGCCCTGCCTAATTTTCCCCTCCTCTTACTTTCTCTTAAACAAGTCTATATCAACCGGCAACTGTGGTGTAGGGGTTAGGCACTTCGTTCAAGCATACAGGAGACCCACGTTTGGTTCCTGAGTGGGGAGAATTTCGTCAAGTGTCTCAGTATTTCTGCCAGGGTGTTGTTTCCCTCTCAGCCTAGGTTGGCTCTGACAGGCAGGGTCAGAGTCTGCCTCCTATATGATCTACATTGTATTGATAGGGCTGTTCCCGGGGTTTTATGCACTCCGCATAGTTTAGCAAAATCTGATCACTTTTTGCATAATTTCTGATGATTTTCCTTTATCTTTCTTTGTTAAAATTAACAGAATCGCATAATTTCACATTTTTTCTGCTCAGTTTGTATAGTTTCAGATTTTTTTTTGCAAAAAAACGCGGGGACAAATAGGGGCGTAAAAACACCCACATTAACAAATTTTTTTTGTTGTAAATAATGAACAAACATGTGTGTGTATGATTGTCCAGGTTGCTGGCCGGGGCTGCTGATCTCATCATCGTCGGTGCGGGAAAACAGGAAGTTCTGGAAGAAGTTGCCAATGAGTCAACGGTGCCTGTGGTCACTGGAATGTCTGACCTGCTTCAGCCTCTGCAGGTCTTGGCCTATTTTGTCACGCTGCAGGTAAAAATGAGAGAATCTCTAACATGTTGTGTTTGTTGCTATTCCTCTGTTTTTACTTATATATGAACTATGTGCATCTGCTGATGCTGATACGATATCTCCCTTTATAATTAAATGGAGAGTATTCAGATTTGCAGCTTCTTATATACTTGCATTTTACTCTTAAATACTTAGATTTTCCTGTCCTTGTTTATTTAAAAGTATTGAGGGATGAGTAGTATTTTTTTCTCGTATTTTTTCTTAAAGTTAAAGTTTTTGTCCAACTTTTTTTTCCTTGTAGGGCCTATTCTATATTGCATTTTCAACTTCACTTTGGTATGAGCCAGTTTATAGCAAAGGAAAGCTGAAAAAAATTCTTGTTTACTTCACGCTCTGCAGAGTAGCAATGAGAGGTACAAAGAAAAAACTGTTTTCAGAAAGGAGGATTTGTAGAAAGAAAAAGAAACTAGCAGACAAAGTAGCTTTCCCAATGCACCTGCTTGACAGTACAATATTGATGTATGAGATTAAAGGGTTCTGTCTACATTTTAGGTACATTTGAGATGTTTTACATCTAAGATGGTGAGTTTTAAAAGCAAAAACAGATAGAATTTTGTGTGTGTGTTAATGTGTATTTTTCTCAGAGCGGAATATTCATTTCAGAATGAGACTTGGATCACCATGTGTGGTTTGCAGATAGAAACTGCGACAAACCTAAGCTTGAAACATTCACAAAGCCCCGATAGAACCCCACTAATCTCAAACAATCTTATAACTCGGTCACAAATTTTAGAAAAGCTGCAGCTTAATAGATTCTTATTACTGTGGCGTCGGTGGCCTAGTGGTTAGGCTACCGGACTTGTAATTGTGAGGTTGCGGGTTCAGGGGTTCAAGCTGCGGGCCCGACGTTGTGTCCTTGGGGAAGGCCCTTTACACGAACTGTCTTCACTTCTCCCAGGTGGGAATGGGTACCAAGCCATAGACGGCGAAAGATCTTGTCAGTATGTTAGTGTTTAAGCGCCTATAAATGGCTGCTTGTACTGTATGCTTCCCAGGAAGTTGAGTTTGTTTCAGAATGCTCTCAGGTCTGCTGGGGTAATAGTATAGATTGTGAAGCGCTTAGAGCTTGCTGTTGAGCGGGGATTTGCGCTATACAAATGCGATCTATTATTACTGATTTTATTATGGTACTTGGCGCTGATAGCTCACCTGGTATCTTGTAGGGCTAGGGTGTGAACGTCCCGTAAAAGGCCAAGGCAGTGCTGATTACCTGAATATTGTGCATACACCTACATTTAGTAAATTCAGAAGTAGGATATAATAGTTCATCATCCCCCCCCCCCCTTTGCATACACAGACACACACACACACCCACACCCCAAGCTCCTCCACTATACCCTCTTCTGTCTGTCTGTCTGTCTGTCTCTCTCTCTCTCTCTCTCTCTCTCTCTCTCTCTCTTTCTCCCTCTCTCTCTCTCTCTCTCTCTCTCTCTCTCTCTCTCTCTCTCTCTCTCTCTCTCTCTCTCTCTCTCTCTCTCTCTCTGTCTCCCACCCCCTCCCCTCCCCTGTCCTTTTTCCTCTTTCCACCTCTTTTGTTATCAATAAATGAGCATATGTATCCTGACTGTTCTACTTGATGCTGTTGTGTATTCAGTGATTTACACAGTTGTCCATATACTTAACTGTTGCACAATTCAGTTTCCTTATCGTATGGGTATTGTGTGCTTATTTTCGTACAGGAATACTTTGGCTATTTGCGAGGCCTCAAGATTGCCTGGATCGGAGACGGAAACAGCGTCCTCAACTCTCTGTTGTACGGCTGTGCTAGGTTAGGCATTGACCTCAATACAGCCACACCAGTGGTGAGTCTGACACTGTTTAGGGGAATCAAACAGCTTATAAGGTTAGATCAGGTAAGATACGATAAGGTAAGGTAAGTTAAGATAAGATAAAATAAGATACGATGAGGTAAAATAAACTTTATGGACCCAGAGAGGAAATTTTGAATGGATATATTCAAGGAATATCAACATACAAAGATTCAGCATCAACACAGAAATACACTACTTACTTTCATGTACTATGATACACATTCAATAATGCACAACTTGCTCACCCAAGCATGCCCAAACAGTGTGTAAGTGGGCATGAACTCTCTCTGTCTCTTTGTTTGATAAACCCTAAGCATGCTAGCCAGTTATAATATAACTAACTAGCATGCCTAGGGTTTATATAATGTGTTGAAATTGTCTTTTGACACCTTTTTTTTCTTTCTTCAAATTTTTAGTTTTCTTTCCGTGATGTCAAAAGAATGTTACCCTGTTATTGAGATGTGGTTGTTTTCTATGGCTTTGTTGCTGTCTTTGAAAATTTCATCGTAATTACATACTTCTACTTGTGGACCATTCTAATCTTTGATGAAATACATTTAGCCTTGTTTGAACAAAGATTTATTTTTACCCATTTTGCTTCAGAAGAATATTTTTAACTGTTTCAAATACTGTTGGGTTTGACGGTTGCTTCCTCTTCAGGGCTATGAGCCAGACACAGATGTTATGCTGGACGCTATGAAGATCTCAGGGCAGGTACGTGCAGTGTTAGTTCTACAGCCACGGGCTAGAAATGATGTTGAATGAAATTTATCTGCAGATGTTAGGTTCATGTCATATCCAGTGGTGAATAAAGAGTTTTAAAAATCCCAGAAGTATGTTTAAGTACATCTTATTTTACACTTAAATTCACAAAAAGCTTACCATGATTGCCCTTAAGGCGTCAGAAAATATGTTTTGAAATATTGTTTACTCAATTCAATATTCTGAATGAAGACTGGTAATTATTTTCACTACCTTTTTTCATTCTAGTCAAATCAAATAAACATTTTGGAAAAGGAGTGCACAGTTTGTGCAATACATTTATACAGCACAAATTAGTACAAGCAGATATCATGAATTCAGACTGTCTCATAATCTGTGTGCCTGCTTATAGATGTCAGTTAAACAGAACTCTGTTCTCCTGATGTTAAAACTGGTATGGGGGCTCTTGTGACCTAGAGGTTAAGGTGTTCGCCTCTTATTCAAAGGTCCCGGACTCGAATACAGGTAGCGACGGAACAATTTTTTCTCTAAAATTGTCTCCTTTCACCTCCTTTCCAGCAATCTAGCAATATTCTGTCGTCTGCTGTTGTCTCCACTTTCTGCCCCCCCCCTCCCCCCCACCTCCTTTGCTCCCTCCTCTGGGCTCCTGACTCTTTGGCCGTCACCCGGGCAAAATTTTTAATTTCCTACCATCTGAAAATGTTAGGTGTGTCCCGCTCACTCATATGACCTTATGCAGTTGCGAGCGCCGTAAAACACTTACCACCCCCCCCCCCCCCAAAAAAAAACCCACACCAAACAACAACTGGTATTTAGATATTCTGTTATGTCCCCTGTTACCCTGTTCTGCTGATCCACACTGTTATGTCCCCTGTTACCCTTTTCTGCTGATTCACGCTGTTATGTCCCCTGTTACCCTGTTCTGCTGATCCACACTGTTATGTCCCCTGTTACCCTGTTCTGCTGATCCATTGTTATGTCCCCTGTTACCATGTTCTGCTGATCCATTGTTATGTCCCCTGTTGCTTGTTCAGCTAATTCACACTGCTCTTTGAGATTGTATAAGCGAGTAAGTGGCAAGAACAATCCATTGATTATTTTTTATTTATGCTCTTTTGTTTTAATTCTCAAGCTTTGCTTGGCAAGAGATTTAACTTTTTTTTCCTGCTGAAAGAAGTAAAACAAATGTTGTCTGGTCTTTTGTTGTAGACTGGGGCGTCTTTCCTCATCGGTAATGATCCGTTGCAAGCTGTGTACCGGGCTGATGCCATCATCGCAGACTCGTGGACAAAACCAGGAGCAGACGATGAAAACATCAAGAAAAGAATTAAAGATTTTGCTGGATTTGGAGTGAATAGAAAGGTTGGACGGAACATCTTGTTTTTAAAATTGTTGTTGTTGTTGTTGTTTTTGTGTGTGTGTGTGTGTGGGGGGGGGGTTATTCCCTATCAACTGTTTGTTTTTTATGCTGCATTGTATTTAGTAACTGATAATTAATTGGGGAAGTCAGTAAAATTAATGGAAATGCCATGGAGAGTTTAAAATGTTTTAAAGTTTTGAACATTCAAATTTCAATAGTAGATTGCTGGGAATCTGATTTACAACAAAACATGAAAAACTGTGCTTCCATTCTCCAGTTGTGAAGTTAATATATTTATAGACTTTGTAAGAGTCTAATACGAAAATCTGTTTTTTTTGGTGTAAAAAAATATGTATTCTCTGTTTTTCTAGTATTACTCTTAATGGTCTAATACTGTAGAAAAATTACAAACTTTCAAGATGGATTTGCCAATAATGATGAGAACAAAGCCCGTAAGTCACTTGGAGAGATCTTTTGTAGCAGGTCTACTTTGAATAGCTTGAATTTATTAAATGCAGAAAAATTTTTTGAGTTTGGATGCGGGTTAGTTGGCCTATGCCCACCATTTTAACCCGCTTTGGGGGTAGAGTATGGTTTTTTTCTTTTTGTTTTTGAATAGTTGGCAGCTATAAAATTTTATGTTTTCCATTTTCATCAGATGATGAAGGAAGCGGGTGGAGAGTGGGTGTTCCTGCACAGTCTGCCACGCCGGCCCCACGAAGTCACGGACGACATTTACTACGGCCAGGAGTCATTGGTTTGGAGGGCCGCCGAGAACAGGCTGTGGATCACAATGGTGAGGGACACTTTGTCTGTCAGTCTGTCTGTCTGTCTGTCTGTCTGTCTGTCTGTCTGTCTGCCTGCCTGCCTGCCTGCCTGCCTGCCTGCCTGCCTGCCTGCCTGCCTGCCTGCCTGCCTGCCTGTCTCTCTCTCACTCTCTCTCTCTCTCTCTCTCTCTCTCTCTCTCTCTCTCTCTCTCTCTCTCTTTCTCTCTCTCTCTCTCTCTCTCTCTCTTTCTCTCTCTCCCACTCTCTCTCCCTACTCCTCCCTGCCCCCTCCCACATCCCCCCCCCCTTTCCCCTCCACTAGTCATTGCATGTGTGTAAGTATGTATGTAATTTTCTGGGTGCTTGTACTTGTAGCTGCCTTCAGTTTTTGTGTGTGTTTTTTTAACCATGACAACATGATTCCACTTTTTAGAGAGAAGGTAAGTTCTTGTTTGTTTGCTTATTTTAGAACTATCTATTACTACCCAGAACTGCTGCTAAAATATATATATATATTGTGTTTTTTTTTTGTTTTTCTTTAGTCCGGACCAATGTGTAAGTTTTTCACTAAACTTTGTGTTCTCCCTTTAAAAAAAAATAGATTTTCTGTATGGGTGGTTGGCAGGTGCTCTGGTGTGGTTTGCTCCTTGTTTCCTACCAAACATCTATCATTATAATCTCTCCTCCTTCTTTCCTTTGTATGTTAATCTGTAGCAGCACCTCTAATCTTCCGCATTTATATAACCTATTTTTGTTCCAAGTGCCATAAAACTCTAACTAAGTGGGTGATTGGCGGTTGCTCTGGTGTGGTTTGCTCCTTCTTTCCTATCAGACATCTATCGTCCTTATCTCTCCTCCTTTTTTGTGTATGTTACTCTCTTGTAACATCTCTATTCTTCGGCACTCATACGACTTTATTGTGTTGCAAGTGCCGTAAAACTTTTACTTAAAAAAAAAAGAAAAACCCTTTTACTAAACTTGAAAAAAATAAACTTTTTCTGTTTTCCTAGGCTGTGATGTTGCACCTCTTCCAGCCCTACAGCCCCACCACGCCAAAGCCAAAGTATGTGAGGGGATAACATCTCTCTCTCTCTTATCTTATGTTTCATTTAGAGAAAAAATTGGTTGTCTTTACATACAATATTATGATATGAATGATTTTGCTGATGTTTAAATATTTTCTTAGAGATCTGAGTCATAAATCGGTTAACCTACCTCCTTTCCTTTTTTTTTCCTATAAGGAGTTATACTGATTGTTTTTTATAAGGAATTATACTGATTGTTAGACTTTAGAAAATATATTCTTCAAAGCATGACTGAAATTTAACATTAGTCTTTCCAATATTTAGAGTAGGCTTTTGTACAGTTTTATTTTGAATTTACTTTTCATCAGCCAAGATGTGTTCATGGGAATGAGACACATGGCTTTATGACAGGGGAGAAATTTAATAAGTGAAGTACTACTCATTGATTATTAGGAATATCTTCAATATAGGCTTTATTGTATTGTACAGTTACCATCTTGTGTAAGTGTAAGTGTGTAAATAATGTACAGCTGGAAAAACTAGAAATGTGTGTCCCTGTAAACTGGGGTGTGCTCAGACTGCTGGAGAATCATGGCACAGTGAGATAGTACGAATGACTTGAATGTTTTTGTGGCTTATGAGTACTTTCTGCTAATATATGCAATGAAATAGGGCACGATCAGTTATGGGGCAGTTTTATTATTTTTATGCTGTTGAATTGATGTAGGCTTATTAAAAAAAGGCCTTTGATATCCTGCTCCCATTGAGAAAAAAAAAGAGGTCAAAAGAGGAAGTGATAGACCAAGAATAACTTACGTAGAGAACTTGAACAGAATGGTGGTCAGAAAAGATGACAATAGCTTTTTTAAAGAGGATTTGAGTGGGGAAATGAGGAGCAAACCACGATCTCTGATGAGTATTTCAAGTCTGTCACTTGAAGGAGAAGAAGAAGACAGTATATGAAAAATCTCTTTGATGAGTTTGAATTGATTCCTTAAGGTATGTATAGCAGAAAGGACAAGTAAATTAACTGGCTATAAATTAAAAACCTATTGCCATTACATCTTAAACGAACTTAAAAATATAGTCAGCACTGACCCAAGTGTGTGCATAGTGTGACAGTGTGTATTTTCACCCGCAAGTGTTCTTTTCTTTAGTCTTCGGTTTGTCCTAAGCTTTTCTCTTACAAAATCCAAGCCTACAACATTTTTATCCTTAGATAACAAATATTTATATTCCATATTAGTAATGATTTGGGCTATCAACATCGGGTTTTAACAAAATCGTTGAAGAAGAAACGTTAGTAGGATCAATGTCATGGGGATAATTTTAGATTCTGTGTTCGGAGATTTTTCTACCCAAGCTGACTCAACAGGTTTTGGGATTTTGACCACTTTTTTTTTCAAAAGTCTTTACTTCATAAATACACCTCATAATGTAGCTTTTGAATTTGAATATATAGGAATATACCAGTCTCATCCCTGATTCAATGCATGCGGAGCTGTCCGTGTTATTAAAGTTGAATATGATCTTGCTGTCCATTTTTTTTACCAGCCTGAGCGTGTGGCTTACTGTAAAAACCTACTGTGATACTAATAGTAATAATAGAGAAATGTTTCTTCTTTGCTCCATGTTGGTTGTTGATCTTTTACAAAAATTATTAAAGAAATGTGAAATTTTGATTGATAGAGTTGTGTTGCTTGTATTTTTATATTTATTCATACTTACCATAAGATGCTTAAGCACCCTTATGACTTACAGTATGTGATTTTCTGGCAGTTTTTGTAACAGTGTGTATAAACCTGTATATTACCCTGTCCCCGTGGTTTTATGCACCTGGTATAATTTAGCAAAATTTAATAATTTTGTGCATAATTTCTGATTATTTTCCTTTATCATTCCTTGGTAAAAAATTAACAGAATTGCATAATTTCACATTTTTCGGCTCAGTTTGTATAATTTCAGAATTTTTCTTGCATAAAACGATGGGGACAGATTACTCTTTGTAAATTATGTAGGCTATGTTAATTTTTTTTAATTTCTGGGTGGTTAGCTGATGCTCTTGTGTCGTTTTTTCCCTTCTTTCCTATCGAACATCTATCGTCATTATCTCCCCGCCTTCTTTTTTTGTGTTTGTTACTTTCTTGTAACACCTCTAATCTTCGGCACTTATACAACCCTATTGTGTTGCAAGTGGCGTAAAAAAAAATTTTTCAGTGTCATTACCTTTCATGGTTTTGTCCCTCTAGATTTGTAAGTATCTGTAGCAGTCCTCTGTTATTGTGTTATTACTTGTATATTTTTTCTTCTCATTTGTCTTTGTCCCTTTCATGTTAACTAACCTTCCTTTCCTTTTCAACCAACGATTGTTTTCTTGTCCATAGTGAAGCTTATGTTAGATACTTGCTTGCTTGTTTCAACACAAGTAAAACGTCCCTTTCCCTTCAGGCAGCCGCTTGTAACCTACTCCCAATCAATGCTTCAGCTTTGTACTGTAACCCATGTGTCTAGAGTGAGTAATCGACAAATGGCTAAAACAGCACCTGGATAAGGATGGCTGGTGCCTCTATGAATAAATTATTGATGGTCAGCAATCGACAAGACAAAACAAAAGGAAAAGAATATGTATCCAACATCAACAATGTTTGAAAATAACAAACCTGTTGGATTTTGAGCCTGTTGACTGACAAATGCAGTAAACACTGTATAATATAATTGTTATTGCCTATATTATAAAGAATGTGTGCATCGCATGTGTGTGCACATGCTTGTCTGTGTCTGTGGAGTTGTCTGTGAGTGTGTGTGTGTGCATATGTCTGTGTGTGTGTGTGTGTGTGTGTGT